CATGAAATTTTCGGTTCGCGAACCGCGAACGCGAATTTCCGCAAATGTTCGCGAACCGGGCGAACCCGGCGAACCGCCATAGACTTCAATAATTATGACGGTTATGATGGTTTTTTATTTGGCCTTTTTTGGGGCTGAAAAATGAAGATTTGAGAAAAAAGAAGACGTCGAATGGTAAGTTTAATTTTATTTTACAGGTTAGTTATTCCCCCCTTACTATTTTTTAGGGTGAGGGGGTTAGGTAGGGACTTTTTATTTGGGGGGGGTGGGTGACTAGGGGCTTGGGGACCCCTAGTCACCATGGGGGGGGGGAGAATTTACTTAGGGCCCCCACCCGCAGCCCAGGGGTGGGGGCCGGGGAGGGAGGACAGTAGGTCCCCCCCCCCATTATCTGTATGGCCCCCACCCGCCGTCCAGGGGTGGGGGCCGGGGGGGGCAGTAGGTCCCCCCCCTCATTATCAATATGGCCCCCACCCGCCGCGCAGGGGTGGGGGCCGGGGGGGCAGTAGGTCCCCCCCATTATCAATATGGCCCCCACCCGCCGCGCAGGGGTGGGGGCGGAGGGGGGACAATAGGTCCCCCCCTTATTGTTCATTTTAGGGCCCCCACCCACCGCTCAGGGGTGGGGGCCAGGGGGGACAATAGGTCCCTCCTTATTGTTCATTTTAGGGCCCCCACCCACCGCTCAGGGGTGGGGGTCGGGGGAGGAACAATAGGTCCCCCCCTTATTGTTCATTTTAGGGCCCCCACCCACCGCTCAGGGGTGGGGGGGACAAAAGGTCCCTCCCTTATTGTTCATTTTAGGGCCCCCGCCCACCGCTCAGGGGTGGGGGCCGGGGGGGGGACAATAGGTCCCCCCCTATTAGTATTTAGGGCCCCCACCAGGGGGGGACCCTTTTTTAAACAGTGAGCAGCCACAGGCTGCTCACTGTTTAATAGACATGCCCCTACTCGCGGTATTGCGAGTAGGGGCACAATTTACTAATACTAAGTAATTTTTACTTCGTATTAGTAAATTAATAGGGGGCGGACCGAACATCGCATATGTTCGCTGTCCGTGGCGAACGCGAACACGCTATGTTCGCCAGGAACTATTCGCCAGCGAACCGTTCGGGACATCACTACTTCCTAGTACTTATAGCATTGGTAGCGCCACTCTGAAAGTCAAAATATATCCATGCAGAACGTGCTGCAATGTGCAATGTTAAAGGGGTGCACCATTGCCCAAAACCAAACGAATTTGGCATGCATATAATTATGCATTAATTTATTGGGGGGATATCCAATAACAGCTTGAAAAAGCTGCATATGGCTTTTCTGCAGCCTTTGTATGTTCTCTCTTTTTTTTCGGCACAGAGTTTCAGTGATTCTTATTAAGACGTTTCTTATGTTGAGGTGTGAGCACTCGTGGTGAGCCACGGGTGGTACAAGAACCAACCGAAAACACAGAGGTAAAATTAGCTCTTTGAGACAGTACATACTAAGAGTGAGTTGGGGTAGAAAGCAAGCACGCTCTAGTAAAGCAAACGTGCTGAATTAAAGGAACACTAGAGGGTCAAGAACACAAACAAGTATTCTTGACCCTATAGTGTTAAAGTCACCATCTAGTCCCCCTGCCCTCCCTAAATATAGTAAAAGATTAACTTTAATTCAGTCTGCTGCTGCTGGTTCTGCCCCTGATCTGCCCACTTGGCAGACAGCAGAAGTGTTGATCAAAGCCAAATCCCAATGCTTTCCCATAGGAAAGCATTGGATTGGCTAAGATTGCCATGGAGGCAGATCAGGGGCAGAGCAAGCACAAGACAAACACAACCCTGGCCAATCGGCATCTCCTCATAGAGATGCATTAAACCAATGCATCTGTATGATGAAAGTTTAGCGGCTCCATGCAGAGGGTGGAGACACTGAATGGCACAGTGTGCAGCACTGCCCCAGGAAGCACCTCTAGTAGCCATCTGAGAAGTAGCTAGTGGAGTTATCACTAGGCTTTAATGTAAACATTGCATTTTCCCTGAAAAGACGGTGTTTACAGCAAAAGGCTTGAAGGTAATGATTCTACTCACCAGAACAAATGCAATAATCTGTAGTTGTTCTGGTGACTACAGTGTCGCTGTAATACATCTCCATGAGGAGCGTTCAGCTGCGTGGAGACGCTGAATATATAAGTTGCACACTGTGAACATATGTGACTGGCACTAGAGGTGGAACTAAGCAGCAATGTCAACACTGCCTTTTCTCTGAAGCTGTAGTGGTTCTGTTGACTTTAGTATCCCTTTAATTATGCGTTTTTTTCATTGACGGTGTGTATAAAAACAGTTTTCAAAAGCTGTAGTTCTCTTGCCTGCTGACTCTTCTTCCCCAACCCAAACTTTCTGTGGTTGTCCAATCACAGACTGCCCAATGCAGCTCAATGAGAAAAGTCTTTGTAAGGTAGGCGCTCTGGGCAATTGCCTGCTTCTTTGGCTCAGTGGAGCTAAATTAAAGAGCAAGACAGTAACAGGCCCGGTTTTCTGACAGCTTTGGGGTGTACCAAAGTTAATTCATAAAAGTGCCCATTTCTATTAAAAACTGCACTTTTGGTGAAAATGAAAAAAAAAAACGATAATTCTCACTGTGCAAGTATTTTAGAGGTCTCTTTAAATCTGAAATTCACTTTCAATTCACAGTAATTCTCACTTTAGCGAATAACCATAAAAATATTACTGTATAGTGAACTTTCTAAAAAAAAAAAAGTCTAAACAGAGTACCTCTGTAAATACATGGGGAGCAAATTATGCAAGACATGCTACGATTGGCAGAAAACAAAAAGGGGAGTTTTGCAGAGATTATAAGGTTTCAAAAGTATCACTATCCACTTTAAAAAAATCATATGTATATATAGATATACACACAAGCTAAGTCTGTTTAATGAAACAAATCCATATACCTCATACCAACTTTGAATCTTGTTCCAAAAGCGTTTATCACATCTTAGTTTAAATGGGAAGCCTAAAAAAAAAAAAAAAAAATACATATATACATACATACATCCTGATGAGAAAAAAAAAAAAATATCCCTGTTTATGGAATCAGAAACAGGGGGGAAAATATTCTATAAAAACTTAGTAAACTTTTATTGGGTTTTATTTTTAGACCTGTTTTACGTGGTAAGGCAAGGCACGCTACTGGCAAGTTTAATTATATCACTTTTTCCACATTTCTTTAAGGGACGTCCAGGCCAGCTGTATTTTGAATCCGTAATGCAGGTTTTTCAGGTGTGCGCAAATCTAAATAGAAAGTCTCAGATTCATTTCAAAACCTTCCACTCAGTGAAAAACCAACAACACTGAGGTTATCAGTAGGAACCCAGGGACTGACCATGGTTAAAAGAAATTATACCAAATTGAAAATTAAGAAAGGTGGCATCAATCAGCACTTTAAATACTGGCACACAGATTTACAAATACTGAAATTACTAAAAGATAGGGGGAAGGGTTAAATCCATTATACTAAAGTTAACAATATAAAGGGATTTGCATGTAAACATGCCTGCAAGCTTTTACACACGGTCAGAGTAAAACTTATCAAATACGAAAATTTATTGCATTTTTTTGTGAGGCAGCATTATAAAGATTTTGTTTCTTCTTCTTTTAAAGAAACTGAAGTCATTCAGGTCAACAACCTTCTACTGCTTAAGAATGTAGGCGTACCCAATAGAAATGTTTGCTTGGCAAATTTATGATGACAGATGCAGAGGTGATAGTATACCAAATCACTCTGTGTGAGGAGGGGAGGGGAAGCACATTTGCTACTTCATGTAGAACATAGGAATTTCCATCCGGGAGAGGGTTCCTTCTTCACAGATATAGCAACCTACAGAAAATCAAACGCTCTGTATATGTATTTTGACAAACAGGAGCCAAACTGTGACTGTCTCTCGTTTAAGTAATTATGTCCAAATCTAAAGAGCACAGTGTTTATTAACTAAACTGAGAATTTGTGAATTTCCAAGGCGTTAGCACATTTAAGACTAAAATACCTAGAAAAGTAAAGGTTCCGAGAGTTTTTCCCGTTTACCTGAGGGCAATCTAACAATATCATTACAGCTTATGACTTAGATCAGTCTAAGAACGGTCACTATGCTAGCACAGATTATTAATGAAGGTGCAATATAAAACAGTTTATTCACAATCAAAAGACTGTTACATGTAGAAAAGTTATCCTACACAGCTATAGTCATTTCACCGTTTTACCTAAAATTTCTCTACAATTCAGTGTATAACGGATAAACCCCTGAACGTAACTGACAAAAACAAATTATTGCTGTACCTTCCAAAAGCTGAATTTTACAGAGAGTGACTGCTCTTACATAACCAGTTAAGAGCAATGCATAGGTTTTTAAAGTGTTAGCACATTTTTAGATTTTCCTACTTTAGTGGCACTTTTGACTCTACCTATACTTTGACATAAAAACAATAATAGTAGAGGGGAGGAAACAACTTCAAAAAGTTTGGGGAAATGCTTTAATGCTCATAGCCTTACAGTAATCAAGTCAAAGCGCCTGCATGTTGAGGTAGCACTAGGAAATATCTGCAGAACTTTCCTCTGATCACACACACTCACACGGAAAATTTACACACATTCAGATATGTTCGATTTACTGGTAAACCAACGGCTTATTTCCTTAAGGCTGCAGAGAACACACATACTTTCTGGAAAGCTATTTACTCTATTCATATCAATTCTAATTATTGTCATGGAGGAACAGAACGCAGAGACGCAATGAACTGAATCATTACTTGTACATTTATTCAATGGCTTAGCAAAGAATGGGGGATGTTAGAGCAAAATTTGCCTGTATACAATTGTAAGTGTGGAGAAGAAAAAAAAACAAAAAAAAAAAAAAACTGTTCTGTCTTTTACAACACCCAAAGTGCTTTGATTAGAAGAAGGATATTTTCATAGTAAAACACATACTGCAATCAAAAATCTGCAGAACTGTGAAAACCCGGTTTGTCCCCAAAAACATCTGGCAATGCTGATCTCCTGAAACATGCAGCTTTTCTGATTACCTACTTTTTCTTAAGAAAAGTACAACCTTGTGAAATGTGATCTATGCAACTTGAGACGGCCAGCTCCACCCAGTTCGGAGAATCAACAAATCCACATATTGTTTTGAAGCAAGAAAACCGATCATTCCACTGGCAAACAGAAGAAACCTCCTCAACTTGTTATAAAAATTAAATGTGTGTTACATTTAACCTTTCAGTGGTTACAGAGGTATGCTGCCTTCCAGAGCACAGCATATCAGAATCCAACTGGCAACAAACCAGATACCAAATCCATTAAGGGTCACTTTTTTAGCCAATCAGATTACAAAATCTACTCAATCCCTTTTCCTCTTCCAGCCCATAAAAGGGGCCATTTCCCAAAGCTAAAATCCTGTAAGTAATTAAACAATTAGCTAGGTCAGAATCGTGGGGGACTTCCCTTACTTTAACTTAACCTGGCTGAAACTACACATAAACTAACACCAGAATTGTAAAACACGCAACAGACAGAACTTGCTGGCAAACTAGTTTAAACTCAATTATCAAGTTTTTCCTGAAAAGGATCAAAAGCATTTTACAGGCAACAAAAAAAAAAAAAAAAAAATTCTGAATTGCAGTAAACTGTGGGGAAAATCCAGTTAAGGAGTTAACACACACACACTTGCCATGACATTTCCAATGAATTATAAATGTTTTTAAAAAAAAAAAAAAAAAAAATATATATATATATATATATATATTTTTTTTATTATTATTATTTTTTTAATCCGACTAGCAGAACAGCTAAAAGTGTTGCACAAAGCTAGACAAACATGTGCTATTCTCAAAATAGCCACAAAATAAAAGCACAAATACATTTCTTAGAAAACCAGAAATCTAAACGTATACTTCTTACTCATTGAATAGAACCACCTGGAGAGAAACTACAAAACCAAAACAACAATATCTCAAATAGCATTCATGACACGAGAAAAGACTAGGTTTGAACATTCCGCTCTGAAAGTTTAGATTACTAAACAATGAAAATAATTGCAACACTCAAAAGGTTAGAATGTATTCTTTTACATAACTGCAACTGACCATGTACATATAGCACTAACATTCTTAACATTACAAAAAGTTATTTAGAAAGGCTTGTTTATATGTTATGCTGCAACAGCAAACTCTACATCAAATTTCGATAATATTCACAGAAATGGTTCTACAAAAAAAAAAAAAAAAAAAAATTTTAAAAAATTAAAAAAAAAAAAAAAAACACTACTACGTGACAGGCATTTTGCAATATTTGAATGAATGTGGTTTATTATTCCCATAGCTTTAATAAAATTACATGTACAAATAATTAAAATAAATAAAAATTAAGTACCTAAAAGTTAAATATGATTGGGGGGGTGGGGGGGGGGGGAAGGAAGGGGGGTTAAAAAACATTATGCAATAATAAAACAAAGACCAAAATGTAAAAGTTAAAATACATTTTAATTAAATTAAAAAATTCATTTTGAAATATATGCTACAATGTGGAACAGGCCATATCTGTGTGAATATTGACTGAAAATAAAGAAATAACAGACACATTCATTAATTATATTTTCCGCATTATAGTTAGATATGTACTTTGTGTCACCCTTATTTTTTCAGTAAGTATTGATACTGTTATATTCAGACAAGTAAATTTTCAACTGTCCTTTGTAATAAATATCATAAAATAGATTCACATAATAAATATTTTTTTTTACAATAAAAAAAGTTTTAAACAGACCTTTGTTTTAAAAATAGTCAATATTCAACTTTGTGATTTTATACATATAATATACAAATGCCAGGTTGTGGCTAAGGCAATTAAACATACAAGAGAAAAAAAAAAAAAAGTCACCACGTAGAAACAAAACTTTTCGTGCGTCTAGGGTGAAAGAGCTTATTTCTTTAAGGCTACAATTTTTCTGACAATTGAAAAAAAGAAAAAGAAATGAAAACTTGAGGGGAGGGAAAAAGTCCTTCAACAGAGAAGTGCCTCTGCCTATATAATACATATAAAAGTAAAAAAAAAAAAAAATTAATAATACATGAGAATAGTTGTAGGAGGGGAAGTAGGCTGGAGAAAAAGGGATTACTGACCAATTCCTTCACTGAAAACTGGCATCAAGGACATAGAAGAGCTACAAGGGTATTTATTATGGGGTAATTGTAGGTCTCTGCTTGATGTTCAGATCTTCCTTTAGGCCAGTCTTTGTAAAAGGATTAGTAGTTTTTCAGGTAACAGAGTGGGGGCGGGGGGGTTGTATTAGATTTCTGAAAGGGTAAAAAAAAAAAAATGGGGGGAGGGAATGGGTAAAGTTAGGCTAAGTCAGAAATTAGGCACAAAGAAAACCACTTATGGTGTAAGGCATGTTTATCCTTTCAGCCAAGCACAATAGATTGTATTAACGTGAAAAACGCCTAAGCAACACGTTAGCTCTACCGATTATACTGGGATACTGGTAAAGAAGAAATTGGAACCCTTATAAAACAAGGAAAAGGAGGTATTTAGTGGGATGGGGGAAAAAAAGGATCTGTATGTGTGACCAAACACAGCAAATAGTCCATAAGGCAGAGACGAAGGCTCCCTCATTCAAAGTCAGGAAGGCTTGCCCTGGCCCCGGGGAATATCGTCCAGTTTGCAATACACAGTATTTGAGTTTTTACATCGGCAACCAGGGCGCTTAACTCTGTCATAACATCCTCGGCAGAGTTTTAGGCATCCTTTAGCAGGAGGGTAGCAAAGCAAACACGGCAGGAAAATGGACATTATTCCCATGCACAGGTATCTGGAGCAGCAATGTGACTGGGTACAGGAACAAGGGTTATCCGCACACGAATCCCCCTCATCGTCATTTGAACAGTGATAGAAAGCTCCTTTGACCAGACACATGCAAGTGCCATACTCCACCATGCTCTCAGCTGAGCACAAACATTGGTGGTTGCAGGCCAGACATGATGGCAGGGTCCTCGGAGCAGTGCAGTCTGCACACTTGCACTTCCCACACTGTTCACAAATGAATCTGTGCTGAGAGGAGTCAATTTTCACAGAGCTCTTAAGATCATCTACAATCAAAGATGAAGCCTTGGGCTGCATTCGAACTATCCTATCCATCCGGTGTCCCAAGCCTGGTCTTGGTGGTGGTGACTGTCCCAGAAGTTCTTGCTCAGAAGAGCCACTATTTGTGCTTCCGGAGCTTGCTGCACTTCCAGTGCTAGTAGACCTGCTCAGCACAGGAGCCCGCCCATTATATAGGTGCCCAGTGTGAGCCAGGTGAATAGGTCTGTGCTCATTGTTATTATTCACATTAATTGGTATAATCTCATGAGTTCTCTCCTGCTTAGTGTGCCTTGGTACAATCTTGGGTCCATGCTTCCTCACCATGGATGGACCTTCTGTGTACTCATTCCTGCCCCGAAGCGCTTTGATCTGGTCCAGGGATAAAATAGCAGTTGGTTGAACTTCCCTCTCATATTCCAACCTTTGCCTGCTGTCTAAAGAAGGCTGCTGAATCACAATTAATGAACCACTAGGGCCATGTTGAATTGGTAGCTCCATCTGTAGTGATCTCGACTTCTAGCATTCAAAGTGAACTTGGCATGCATCTGAAGACCTGTAGAAAGGCCAAGAAAAAAAAAAATATATATTTTAGATGCATGAAGGACATTACATTTTATTTACATTAATGTAAACTCCCATTACACATGTGCATAGTACACCATGACTACATGTCAATATTCACAAATTCAATGTGCAAGACCATCAGCTCCCTAGGTTTAAAAGTTTTCTTGAAATTAAATATCTTGTAAGGTTTGAAAATCTCACTAAGTGTAGATAGGCAATATTTTTACTCTGTAAAATGTAGAATTATATTCAATCAATTATGTTGCAGTAACTCACAAAGCTGGCTTCAAATAAAAAAGGTATTTTTACTGGCAGAATTCTATCTATTTCTGCATGACCCAACTAGCCCATAATAAAGCAAAAGCATCCAGATATAACATTACAGTGTGCCAGAAAAAAACGTGCATACTGTATATACATTTTTAAACAACTTGCAACATAATACATTGCTTTGACATTTGGAAGAAAGTGGATTTAAATGCTAAAAAACAAAAAGTTGTAAAACACAATATAAATGAAAAAAAAAACAAAACAAAAAAAAAAACCTTGTTGCAATCCAAAATACATAAGCAGAAAACGAATCCTAAAGTTTAGCTTTTAAACCAGATTTTCTATTTATTTAGGTTTCTCCTTCTTGCGTGACACCAAAAACAGTTAAATAAAATCTGAACTACAAACATTACAATAAAATAGCCAAACACTGAGCTATATCCACTAAATAGTGAACTGTAATGAATTGAAAAACAAACTGTAAAATTGAGGCAAAAATGTGCTAATTTCAGAAAAATACTCAATTTCAGCTGTAGTCAGTTTGGCTATTAATGTTTGAAAGTCTGTTTTAAACCCCCTAAACACTATTTAAACCCCATAGATAAAATATAATTTCAAAAAGGAAGACCACATGATCGATTTTTAGATTATTAATAGTTTGCTAAGTTGCTTCTTTAACATATATTAAACAATTGTGCACTTCCTAAAACACAGTGCATTTGGGTATAAACAGCATCACAAAGAACAGAAACCTCAGTTTATGCAGCATTAAAACGTATCAAAAAGGCACACACATGCTAAAATGTGTAAAGATTAAACCCTGTGTCAACTGATCTTAACAAGGATCAGAATGGATTAAAAGTCACAACACGAACACGTGCAAAGCAAATAGTGTTAAAAAATACTAATCATGCCTGGGAACCAAAAAAAAAAATACAAAAAAAATAAAATAAAAAAAATAAATAAAAAAGATCTACAAACAAGAAGGGAAAAAAAACAAATCCTAAAAACCTTACAACTATACGTTTCACAACACAAAATATGCTTAACTACCTTTGAATGCCAGACAGAAAAAAAAACATTAAAATAAATTTGAAGATCCAGGGACACTATAAAATCTGCATAAAGTAAGTAAGTGCAGGGGATTTGAGAACGCTCAGGCTGGTTTTCAGAGTGAGGAAATGGCTCTTTACCTTTAATGATTGTCAGTAGATCTGGGGAAATATGAATTGATAGAAAGGAGCAGGATCTCCCGAGGTAGGGGAGGGAGAGAGACAGAGAGCTCTAATAAAAGGAGAGATGGGGGGAGACAGAGGAAGGAAAAAGTTATGAATGAAACAACCCCTTGCTGGGAGGAGGGAGGGAGAGAGCTGAACATTACCGCAGGGGGGCGGACTTTCCACTCATCCCTGCTACAGAGCACTGTCTTGTCTCAGACTGGCTCCTTGTGCCCCAAACAGTGCACACCCACCCCCCCGTGTGCCTGGCTAAATGGGCATCATGTGCAAGGTGTAAAAACACATTCACAGTGCTAGCCGGAGGCTATTTACTAAGAGGTTATGCGTCACACGCGAAATGTAGATATCAGTCCAAAATAAAGAAAAACAAACGTGGAAGGCAAACTCTTACATTTACTTCTCCTTGACATATTTACCTATACTGCGCTGCAGTGCATGTTTTACACAGCTAGCCAGAACCAAAGGGCTCAAATTATTGGGGATTTGAAAGTGAAACAATCGCCAACATACACCGCAACGTTGCGTGAAGTTTGGGAAACACAAAATACAGAACAAAAAAAAAAAAAAACTACGAGTAATTGAGGTTATGCAAAAAAAGTGATTGTGGTGGTAGAGTCCTAAAGGTGGAGCAATCAGCAGTGCAATTCTGTTTGGTTTGCATGGTGATTGCTTCCTAATTATTCTTTACATAGAACTCCCAACGTTCTATCCATGGATTAGCCAGCCACACTGTAACCAAATGCGATATAAAAAGCAAGACTGCTCTCAAAGGTGAGCGGTTACCCTGAGAACACCTGTCTCTAGTAATGCTTTTACTGGGGCCCCTTGCTGCAAAGGTCGCGCTTCCTCCCTTTGCTTCTGATAATCAGGGATTTCTATTGTACAGCACACTGGTTATGCATGCAGTATATCAGCAGAGAGCACCCTCCACAGCCCCTTGTGGCTTTCGAACACCAAAAATAATTAGCACCTGCAGGCAGGGTCGGGGGGTTCTAACACGTGCACAGATGGTATACACAATCTGCACGGGGAAACTCACCTGTGTGCAAGCAGACACCAGAGTCAAAGCCATGCAGTGCAGTCCTACGGTTACTGTGCATGGGACATGAGGCGTGTCATATCCCACCAGCTCAAACCCTCCATCCAAAAAGCAGCTAAACAGCGAATCCAGAGTGCAGCAGTGACAGCCAGAGTCTCATCACAGGGTAATCCATCCAGAGAGCCCACTTCCCGCGGTAGGTAGCCACACGGTTGTTGCTGTAGGTCTGGTTACAGGTAACAAGCAGAGTCCATACACGGGTGCAGGACGATCAGACAGGCAGAGCAGCGAGTCCTTGTCAGTGCAGCTAGCTCAGGGTCCGTGTTGCTGCTGTTGCTGCATGCGATGGGAGGAGGCAAAAAGAAGGAGGGATCTGGGGTGCGACACTTTTTTTAACTCACATACTTTCCTCGCCATGTAAATCCAAACGATCACCTTATGGTTTTTAAAAAAATAAAATATAAAGAGAGATGAGATCAATCCCAAATGTTGCTTCTCCTCCAAGAAGAAAATGAGGACAGCAAACGTTATAATAATAATCCTCAGGTTGGCGTGTGAACGCCTCTCTCCAGCATGGGCAGAGAATGGAGCGGAGAAGAATAGTGATGAATGAGGGTGTCACCCTGCAGCAATCACTCACAGCTCTCCCCCCCCCCTCCACACTACAACCTTCCACGCCTCGCGCTCTCCTGCCTCTGAATGAATGGATTCCTGGAACACTGGGTTTGTTCTGGCCGAGCCTTCTGATTGGCTGGCAGTCGCAGAGTGGCGAAGGAGAGAGAAAAAAAAATAAAAAATAGAACGTTTAGCGGCCACGCCGGCATTGATTGGTTAAGGGGGGGGCGCGCTGCCTGCAATAGCGCGGGTTGGACATTGGCAGGAGAGGGAATGTGCTGCAAGGTGTATTGCTGGGATGGTGGCTGAGAGTGGAGGGAGTCTGTCTGCAAGACAATCACTGGGAGTCTGCGACAGCGTCATATACTGCATCAGGGACATTATCAGGAGTCCTTAAAACGTATTGCAATATAGTTTATTATATCAATGTTCTATAGACTTATTTATATTAATATAAAAAAAAAAAAATCCAGCACAACAGTTTATTTAATCCACCCTGCAACACTCGCACTTCGTAAAGCAAGACATGATTACCTGTAGCTTTGACAGAGAGCTGCTATTAAATAACTTCCTATTAGGGAATCTGCATGGATTGAATAGTCACAGATTAAGTCGGAGTCAAAGTTCTAAAGTGGAGCAAGCTGGAAGGAAAGCAATGTGGATTGCGCCATGCTTTACATAACGTTGCCCCAGAATCACTCTTTAAACATACAGTATTATCCGGTAGTTTTATTTTTCACTTAGAGTTTGCGTGTGTGAGCAGTCACGCAGTGAGTAGCAGGCTCAGGTGGGTTGCAGCTCGGAGTGCGTGTTGTAGGGTTGGCTGAATGGAGATGTGCCCACACTTGTTGGAAGTACGAGGCTGTCAGCTTCTGTTTGGAGTAGCAGTCGCGTTGTTTCCTTAGGGAAGGAAGAGCCGTGACCTGTCCCCGGAGGGAGGGGGGGGATGGGTGTTGGTGAGGCTTCCTGCAGCAGATTCCTACATATCACTTCTACTAGTAATTAGCAAGCAGGCTGGGAATCTGTCCAGATCAATTACCTTTAACCCTTTATGCATTGCCTCCAAGGCGGTGACTTGGGCTGGAGTATCACTCTGGAAAAAAACAGTCTGACCTGGAAGCCAAAGAGTTAAAAGGAGAGAAAAAAACAAAGGGGAGAAGGGGGGCAGCCGCATATCCGCTTTGAATATAAATGACCTATAACAATGAAAAGGTTGTTTTTGTATGCACAATCCTGCCATCTACATGCGTGTCTCTCTAAATAATAGCCCCCAGGGTGGCAGACTTTAATGGGCTTCTTTGTGACAACCAAGTTATGCAGGAGGATTGCTTAAAGCTCTAGAAGAGGCAACAAAAATGTAGATCCCGAACTACAACATCGGATGGCAAAGATTTCTAGACCCCTAACACATGGCACAACTACATCTTGGCCGCCGTAACATTAGGAGATAGAGCCCAGTGTTACTATATCAAATGTTTATTTTTCAGATCAAAGTGGCATGTGCTAATTTAATCCCATTGGGTCCAGGTTTCAACTCGAGAAATGGTTTGCAAAAACATAGATTGCAATAATGTTACTGTGCATCACCCTGCAGTAATACGACTGTTCGCTTTTACAAGGGTAATCGTAAACTCTAAGCGTGTTTTATGAATGGCAGTCAGCACTGGCTGATTAATAACAGCTATCAGGATCATTGTTTTTCATGAAACCACCTTTGTACCTTAACATTTATATGGTTAATGATGTGAATGAATCCTTGGCATTCGTTTTTTTTTATGAATGGCAGTCAGCACTGGCAATGTTTTATCCTAGGCAGATTATTAACAGCCATCTGGACCTCACTCATTTTTGCTTGTTTTTGTATTAAAACTTCCACCTATTAACAGCAGTCCATACGAAATCCTCTTCTACTTCAATGAGAGAGCAGCTGGCATTAAAATATAAATAGCCCACTCCTCAGTGACGAGAGAGAGAGTGTGTGTGTGTGTGTGTGTGTGTATATATATATATATATATATATATATATATATATATATATAGTGTGTGTAAAAAACATAAAATTCTTATCTTGTAATACCTTTTGTGTGTGTGTGTGTATATATATATATATATATATATATATATATATATATATATATATATAATAGGATGAGGATTGAGTGAAGAGATACATCCTTCCTCTTGTGTTAATGCGATGATACCTTGCCCTGGAAGCTCCTGCTGTGATTGCACCAGGAGGAAGGGAAACATTAACTGCATGGGGTGTAAAGTGCAGCCTGGGGCATTAATCAAGTCCTTTTTTTCCTCTATAGGGTGAAGAACTGGACATGTAGCTCTCAAAGCTGTAAACAGGAAGCTCTCTCCACGTGTTTTTGCAATTATTGAGCAGAACAAATGCAACTGATTGCACTGAGGATTCCTGGGTATGTGCTTAACCCTTGAGAGCCACTTTCTACATTGCTAGGGTTACACTTTGTATGAAGTATTTTATTTCTGACTGCTCTTATAATAAGCGATTTCTCTTAATGTTATCATTTGTTATTGGAGGGTGGTGAGCTGCAAATGTAAAGATACAAAAATAATAATTTTAACACATTGTGTACAGCATGTGATAATGATTCTGTACAAGATTGGGATTCTAGTTGAACCTTTAGTTTAATTCTTGTATGCTTAATATTGTACTAAGAGTATTTATCCCCCCCATGATTTATTACCCTTCCAGTCTATATCTTGACACCATTTCCAGCAGTTAAAAGGAACAGATCAATAATTATTCACTGTGTCCCAGGAGGACACATTATACTGCTGGCCAGATGGCTGAGCCAGACCCAGCTGCCTGAGTGTATTGTGAAAGAGGAAGCTGCATATCCGGGTCCGTTTCAATGTGAAATCCTATTCTTAGGCAAAGGAAACCACAAGTGGGGTTAATCACCGCACTCCACTTCCTGTTTCATTTCCCAAAGACAGATCCATGAGTGGCTGCTTCCTAAATATCAGCTATAGGCAACACTGACTGCCTGAGGAATGCACCAAAATAGCCAGCAGGAAAAATATATACAGACAATAATAACATGCCACACAGTATGGGTCATTGTCACCTGTCTGTAGCATATTAGCTTTACAAACTAAGCAAATAAACAAAGGAAGGACTTATTTACACTAGCATAAATTGTGTGTGTGTGTGTGTGTGTATATATATATATATATATATATATATATGAGGTGCATTTACCAAGCAGTATGTTGTGACTTGATTATTTAGTAAACTATTTACTAAACTTTTTGTCCCTGATTATTTACTAATACAAATGGGTATAAGGATTTTTTATCCCTAACAGTGAATTGCAGTGAAATGGAAACCACAACAACAAAGCTGTGTTCAGAATAATCAATTTGTGAATATAGTTGAGTGTGAGACTATTTTGCAACTTGGTTAGTTCAGTCCTTATTTTGCATATTTTTTCTTCACTTTTTTATTTTATTACAATTCAAGGTTTAATGAATAACCGTCTGATCTGTTTTTCTATCCATTGTGTTTTTTTTCATTTCCTCGCATTTCATCCCCACTGCTTTGCCCAAGTCGCCTTCCCATCTCTCACATTAATTGCTGCATTTGCTGGCATGGTGGGGTCACTTATCTCTAGTGTTTCCGCCTTTGGCAGCACAGCTCCTCCCTTTACAATAAACAAGTTTCACAAAGATGGCAATATCGACAGCTGTTGTTATTGTAGTCATTCAGTGCCTAGAATAGAATTTATAACACTGAGAACTAGAATGTTCTACAGCTAATACCTCAATTAAAGTCAAATTTGAAAGTGCATTTGTATTACTTAGCAGAGCTGGGAGAGAACAGGGATACAAAAGTATCTTTCTTTCGGGGCCATCACCTGTGCTAGTCTGAGGTCATCCTGTGAGCTGACTAACTGTCCCAGGACCAGAGGGTACAGGAGGAACACTGAAGGCATGCAGTGAAAGCTATCCCTGTGCTCATCATGTCTTCATTTCATTATTGAAAAGATTCAGGTTTACATGTATAAGTTCATGTATGAAGAAGTGCTGTAACTTATATGTATCATCGCAGTTCTGGAGTATTTTTATATCCTGGTTTATGTATAGCTCACTCTAAAACCTGAGGAAATTATGTGATCAGCTCAACAAGTACTAGCAGTGTGTTAAAATAATAGGATGAAGGTTCTCAACAGAAATAAGGCCACGTAGAAAGACCATGCTCTGCTCTGCCTTTACCAGGTTTAATTCCATCCTTTCAAGTATCAGATGTCTCCAGCCATGCACTCTTAATGCCAGCTTATTTTACCAGGTGCTCTTAATAGCGCCAACTCCTAAGCAAATACTTATGTAATTACCCCATTCAGTACACTCACTTTCTAAAAATAAATACCAGTACCTTAATGTTATGCAAAATGATATGTAAAAGGTACTTTAGGCATGAGACGTGCAGATAGTATGTGAATCAAATCAGGAAAATATGCTAACTAATCCTTTGAATTTATTTTAATATATATTTATATAGACTTATTATTCATTTAAAGACTGAATAATTTAAGGAAAACCCATTTCGGCCATCCACTACTCCTGGAATGCAATACATAACTATGTTTGGGGTACTGATTCCCACACCAGCAGCACAGTATGTGACTAGTAAGCTACATACAGTAAATATGGTTGCTTGAATGAAACCAGGCATCTATATTTGAAAGTGAGAAGCATTATTTTAGCTCTATGCCCCTTTTCAACCATTAGCAATGTTGGGGTACCTTCTAGATTCAATGCTAAATTCACATCGCAAGATAATGCATTGAGGAGGTTTTAATAACTTTGGTTACTAATGTGTGCATATGCACCAGGTTCTCTTGGCTGAACTATTGTAAAATACACTGTAGGTTTTATTATATTCCACACCATTAAATACTGCCCTAACAGCTGCTTCTGTATGATCTTTGCTTTGCTCTGAAGGCATCACTATGAAGAGGGCATCAGGGACCAAAATAGATTGTGTAATCTGCAGGGCAGTAGCTCACAAAGTATAAAATGTTCCATACTGTGTTAGTGATTCCCCCCTATGACTAATACAATAGTAACATTTTCCTAGCCCTAATATAATATTTATAGATCATCAAGTTAGCATGCCAACATGAATTATGTTGGCATCTAGCACACTAAACATAAACACAGTAGTAGCACGTCCACTAGGTGGTGTAATTTATCATTGTCGGGCTTGCTAGGATTCAAGCACAGAATGTATACAAGCTAGGTGAAGTTATTATAGCGTTAGACATGGTACTGGCTACTTCTGGCCCTGCAGGTGTTGTGATCCACAACTCCCAAAAGTCTAATAAGCAAGCTGAGCAATGTAGTAGCTGTACCATAGAGTGTCTGGAACAATGGAAGAAAAAAAACCCGGGTTATAAATAAATTTCTATTTTTTTTTTCCAGTTATTAAATGAATATTCCAAGACATCATAATGACTACGGTCCACTTTGACAACTTACCGGTGCCCACTGCCATCTCCTCGGGAACCAAGTTGCAGATTCTTGTTTGTTTTTTTGTTAGTTTTTTTTTTTTTTTTACTTTTACAAGAAAATAACCAAACCGATAAAGTAGTTAAAAACCTGCATATATGAACATTAGCCCTGTTAGTGCCTCATACTCAGGATATGCCTCATAGATTATTTCAGCGCTAGTACATGGTACTAATTATACAATACTTATGTAAGGTGAATTGCACAGTTTAGGTATACAAGACAAGGAGTCAGTGAATGTATGAACCAAATCCTATTTCCGTGCCCAGAATCTAAACTGACTTACACCTTGTGAATATTGCATAGTTTATATCCCATTCATTGAAATGTTTGCTCACGACACTGTAATGCTTAACACCTGATACGTTGTTTACTCCTTTTTATATTTTTTTTGTAATCCAATCCAAACTTGAAAAATCTAATAAATAAAGATTGTAAAAAAAAACCCTGCACATATTTTAAGACCCCTGGGTAAAAACAGAGGGGTGACATTTATTTCAGACTCTTTAAAAGTAAAACACACAATGCATTCTATTTAAAAATGTGAATTGTGTTGAGTTATAATTTTGTTGTTACATTTTTCCTATAGAAAAAGCATGTATAGGATATTGCAAAAATAGATAAAATTACAGAATGATTGATATCTACCTCTCGGTTACCATATTTCTGTTTTCTTTGCCTGCTCTTCATGGGATATTTTTTCCTGATGTCTTTATTTGTGAATTGATCAACAAAAAAAAATCTTAAAGATTTGACCAAACTAAAAAAAAAATATGGACTGATAATATGAATCCTAATAATCCTATCAATAAAGTATATGGGAATGTAAATATTACATTGTATGGAACAAACAGAGCACACAGCAGACACAAATCTTCTAATAACACAGATGGCCAAGCAAAGGACTACAATTCACTACAATTTGTGTTTCCTGTGTGTCTTACTAGTGTTCAACATTTTTATTAAACTGTTTTAAATGTCCACTTTGACACTGAATTCTACCTGTTGAGCCATGAATCAATATTTGCAATTATGTGACTTTTAACTGCTAAAAAGTGCAAATATGAGGCATGTAAGGTATTTCCAAAATCACGAGAAAAAAATAATCTATTTTCGGGTGTGATTAATTAGCCATATTTATAATTATTTCATGTACCATATTTGCCAACATCTAAATGAACAAAGAGGGACGCTTGTATTTTTGGGGTGTGGTCAGGGGCAGGGTTGTTTACATTTTAAATACATTTATTATTAGTAATGTAGAACTAGAACAATGTATCTTATTTGCACAGACTGATTTCTAAACACATTTATTGTTGTTTAAAAATCCATTACTGTGAGTAGTATTGCTGTGGAGCTCTGTGATACACTTATACACACCAATAACACTAACAGGATTACTCATTAAAGTGAGAATTCAAAGTGAATGTCAAATTTAAGGCCAAAGTACAAAACTGGAATCATAGTTGAATTAGAGAATGCTTCTGCTTCGGTTATTTTGACTTTAAATGTAAAATTCACTTTAAATTCTTACTTTAGTGAATAACCCTCTATGAATTTGCAAAAGTGGGGCATTGGGATAAAAAAGAAGGATGAGGGATTATGGAGCAAAATTAGGGACTGTCTCCTAAATAAGGAAACTTGGAAGGTATGATGTATACCTGTAGGATTTCATTTAAATGTGCACTTTATCATACACGAAAAGTAGATAGAGAACAGAAATACCTGTAACACCCCTCTCCATGTTTGAAATTCTTTACCCAAGCTAATTCCTGAATACATTCATTGTGGTTTAGAGATCCCTAACACTGAGTCTTACTGCTATGGATCTCTGTTATACACTCAGACACACCAAAAATTCCAGGCTCTCCTGTTCAGCGCATTATTTGCTGATGACATCATACATTCTATACAGCTTCTTTTTTTTTTTTTAACCAAAAATATGATTTAATTCCAACATGGCCTACTCCGCACAGAAAAACTGCCAGATTTTCACGTGATAAAGAGAGAAAATTGCATGAATTGGCGAAATAGTTTAAAACCAAGTTAGGCAAACAACATTTATATGACAGTACTACATTTGTTCTCTAAACACTGACTAAAAGTGAATTGAACACCAAATTGTCCCACTAAAGGTAAAAATAGCTGATTTGGAAAAGTTCCCCCATATTAGCTACAAACATTTGGCTTGCATAAATGTGGCTAAATTTTGTAATCTGATCTTTAATTCACTTCAATTCAGTGACTAACCAGTGTTTCTAGGGATTTAACACTTAACTATACTTTCATGCGTATGAATGTATCTACAGAAGAGGTTGAAAAGCTCTGTACACTAATTAATGTGTACAGCAATTATACTGTATCTCATAAAAACACCACTATTTTTTAAACTAACAAATAGAAAATTATTGCATCTGCCCTAAATACAAGCTGGAGCTAACCTGATAATCAGTGTAGCCAGTGGGGCTATGACCTTACACTAAAGTCTTCGTTAATTCAGATGATTGTGTGTGTAGGGGAAGAATGTCTTATTAATCACAACTAATGCTATAATGTTTTTCATTATATGAGGCAATGTTCCTTCGGGAGCCTTGTTAAATGGCCTCCTTAGGATATATTTTCCTGTTTTGAATATTTGGGAAGATCTCCAAAAGCTTCTTTAGAGCACAGCACTTGCAAAACTTTTCATATATATAAAGATTTTTTTCTTTTAAAAAGGTTATGTTTGCTTTTATTTTTCCTTTTTTTCATTTCATGAACTGGTTCACACATTAACCCATTGTTGACAGCTACCCTTTTTATTTTTTAAAGATTTTTGATTTCAGGTCAGATAAACAAGGCGTTACAAAGGTATGAGAACAGTGAGAGATTACAATAGTTTTTTTGCCAACATACATACATCTTGGTGCAACATTTGAGTGTTCTTTGAGGGTTTAGGCTTGGAGTCTAGTGGCTAAAGAGTGTTCCCAAGTTTGGGTTGGTACTTCGTCTTTTGACCCTGGTTCCTTTGGGGGCAAATAGTCTGACCAGGGTTATGGACTGACATGGGTTGCATCAAGCCAGACTCTTGGGGTGTGTTTGTTGTCGTGTAGGTGGCGTTTCAGTGATCGGTGTACATTGTGTGTGTGGGGTTGCGATGTGCTTGGGTAGGATGTTACTATGTGGAAGTGGTGTGTCTGCACCTCCAGTTGTTTGACGTTTTGGTGTTGGGAATGTTTAGTGCTCTGGTTGAGTGTTGGCTTGAGGGGCAGGAAGAGGTAGCGAGGGTGGGAGAGGAGGGAAACAAGAGGCGAGAAGGGGAGAAAAGTAATACAAATATTAGAGAGAAAAGGTAGTATTGTGGTAAGAAGAGAGAGGGGGACCACACACCCACAGTCAGTTCCTTTGTCCGAGTGTAGTGTTATGGGAGAGTAGTTAAATGGCCCCGGTTTCACAACCGATCCTCTCCAGGAATTTAGGCATGAGTCAAGGGCTTTAATTGATATGTTACCAAGGAGGGTGGTGTCTCCATCCAGCCAAGGGTGCTACCCTTTTTATAAAGGGTAGAGAAAAATTAGGTAATATATAGGAAACATAAAACATGTAACTTAGCATTTCCTGTGTCCACACAGTAATATCCGCAATCTCAAAAGGTCAGTAAAAAATTTTTAATTCTATAAAATGTCATAGATGTTAGTGTAAAGACATTAAAAAATAATATATGCAAACTTCTGGTCCGTATTGACTTTCTCAGGACAAATCAGTACATTCATGTTCAATGCTGCCGTTTCTCTGTTTTGTGATTCACTAAAAGCAGGCTTCCCCAAACTCCGGCCCTCCAGATGTTGGACTACAACTCCCATGATTCTATGAATTAAATGAGAATCATGAGAATCATGGGAGTTGTAGTTCAGCAACATCTGGAGGGCCGGAGTCTGGGGAAGCCTGACTTAAAGGGATATTATAGGAATCAATACAACTTTAGCTTCATGAAGCATTTTTGGTGAACATATCATGTCCCTGTAGTCTCATTGCTCAATTTTCTGTCATTTAGGAGTCAAATCACTTTTGTTTCTGTTTATGCAGCCCTAGCCACAACTCCCCTGGCTGTGTCACACATATCCTGCAAGATGAAAATATTTTTGTATGCAATCAGATGTTAACTTGCATTAAATGTTTGTATCTCTTCTTTTGTACACTAAACTTTAATCACACACACAGAATGCCCCTGCATGGTCTAGACGGCTATTAAGAGCAGGGATGAGAAAGTCTAAATAAAATACAGTGAGCAATAAAGAAAGTTTAAACATTAGGTCTCTCTTTACAGGAAGTGTTTAGGAAAGCTGTGCAAGTCACCTGCAAGGAGGTGTGACTAGGGATGTATAAACAAAGTGAGTTAATTCCTAAATGGCAGAGAATTGAAAAGTGACACTGCAGGGGCATGATCCATACATCTTTAGCTTCATTAAGCTAAAGTTGTTTTGTGCTTTAGTGTCCCATTACGTATAGCAGGATTTAGTAACTGCTGGAACTGGTTGCAGAATCTCTAGAACAGTGTTGGCAAACCTTTGACTATCATTTTCACATTGGCTGCTAAGGAGGAGATTTTTGTAAATCAATGTGGCTTGCTTATTTAACATCTCTAGACCAGTGGCTCAGGAACCAAGCCATAAAACGAAACAAGATCATTATAGTAATGTATCATTATAGTCTCCATGATGTAACAATGAAATGTGACCGTGCCAAAACAAGTTCTGAGAAGAGAAGGGGAAATATATTTCCTGGGTGCAGGAAGCAATCTACTGTTTTAAATAAGTCATATGGTATGTATTCACGAACACCTGTAATAGATGGCTTTCCTTTAGCTGAAATATTTTCAATAATTGCATTTATAAACATTAAAAAGCTAAAATATCAGCCATAGAGCTTTCTGTAGAAATCTGGCTTCAAACAAAATCCCACACCTAGCTACAAACTCTAACGTTACATTTCCCACACATTACACCGATCAGCCACAACATTAAAACCACCTGCCTAATATTGTGTAGGCTTCCCTTATACTGCCAAAACAGCTTTGATATATTAGGGCATGGACTTCACAAGACCTCTGAACGAGTCCTATGTTATCTAACACCAAGACATTAGCAGCAGATCATTTAAGTCCTGCAGGTTGTGCAGTGGGGCCTCCATGGATCAGAATTGTTGTTCCAGCACATCCCACAGATGCTCAATTGGATTGAGATCTGGGGAATTTGGAAATCAAGGCAACACTTTGAACTCTTTTTGTCATGTTCCTCAAACCATTTGGTCACTGCCATCAGGGAACACCATTGCCATGAAGGTACGTGGTTTTCAATACACTCTAGATAGGTAGTAGGTGCCAAAGCAACATCCACATGGATTACAGGACCGAAGGTTTCCCAGTATAATATTTCCCAGAGCATAACATTGCCCCCACCGGCCTGTCTTCCTCTCATAGTGCATCCTGCTGCCATCTCTTCCCACGGTAAATGACGAACATGTACCCAGCCATCCACCTGATCTAAAAGAAAGCATCATTTAACAATCCAGGCAACCTTCTTCCATTGCTCCATGGTGCAGTTCTGACACTCACACCCCCATTGAAGGCACCCCATACACAACAAACTGTGATGCACTGTGTGTTGTGACAGCTTTCTATCATGGCCAGCATTAAATTTTTCAGTAATTTGAGCTACAGTAGCTCTACTGAGTGATCGGACCAGATGGGTTAGCTTTCGCTCCCTATGAGCCTTGAGAGCCCATGTTCCTGATGTCAGTTCACTGGGTGTCCTTCCTTGCACCATTTTAGGTAGTTACTAAACAATGCATACTGGGAACACCCCACTAGATGTGTAGACCAAATTGCCTCGCTCAATTCAAATTGCAAAACATAGATCAAAAAGAAAAAGTATCTCTGGTGCAAAACAAAACTTTTGTGCAAATTGATAACCAGTGTTGTCCCTCAAAAGTAAAAGTGCAATCCAAATGCTAAAGGCATAGTTACCTTATAATTCACATAAATACTCACAATATAAATATATAAATAGGAGAAAGAGAGAAAAAAACAAGGACACTTATAGTGTAGTATTTTACATAACAAGTAAATATAAAAAATAAAGCCAAGAACAGGCGCTCAAATTGCTCTTGTATGTCAAGAAGATCTCCAAATTTACATAAATGAGAAACAACTTTGGCATCCAAGAATAAATCCAGCAAAGGGTTCTTCTAAACGCAAATGCCAAGAGTATTTTGTGTATTTAAGTATCTTATTCAATGCATTTTGAATTTATTTCAAAAGTTGTAATTCTGCCTCTGTCTCCACTTCTTTATAACGGCTTTGGTCGAAGATCATTGGCTCCTCCAGTTCTCCAAACGCATCACATCCCGTACACTTGGGCGCGACTCTGACACTTCAACAGATATCCCCACGCTAGATGTTATATACACTAAAGCGCAGCTTGACAAATGAAAAAAGGCCAAGCAAACCCTTAGCTAGGTTTATTCTTGAATGCCAAAGTTGTTTCTAGCTGCAGATACACTTCGAACTTTCTTCAGACTTCATCTGAGGCCCCAGTCCAGGAACGCACTCGAATTTCTTGGTGGAGTGGTTATCTTCAACCTGCTTGATGGGACTAATTGTTTATTTTTGTTGTGATATTACCTAGCTCTGGGAATAATACCTACTTTTTGAGTGAACTGCTAGTAAGAATCCTACAGCACTATGTTGCCATGGGTCCTGATTTGGAGACCCATACAAAGTGTTGGTGACTTGTTGTCTCTCCTCATAATCCTCCTTGTTCTTTTGGAAGACCAGTATGTCAACAGCTCTGGGCTTTGAGAGAGGCCTGGAGTAATGTGCACTAGGACTGAAAGCTATGCAGGTAGGAGCAGACACCAGGGTATAATGGTTGCCTAAGGACTGATCCCTGCCTATACTGGTTCAGAGGCTGGTACCAGGTGTGGGCTGCATTGACATTTGGATCCTCCTGTTGGGCTATCAGCAATGTTTGTTGACTTGGCAGGGTTGATGTGTTGGTGGATCCCAGCCTGGAAGTCTTTGCATGCTACTAGCCTGCTGGTGGTCGACTGGACAGGACAGATCCAGTGGACTCATAGTTTTTCTTTGAAGTTCAGCAGTTTCATGTTTGCCTTTTGTGTGTTATTTAATTCGTGCCTCTGTACATCAGATTTCACCTATATTGTGCATCCTACGGCTATTATTTTTATCGGGTTTTGCAGGCAACTTTATAGCTATGATGCAAAATGAAGAAAGAGGGTCGCAGTGCCTTGTGAGTTGAGTGTCTTCTGATCCAGATGGTGCTCAGTGCGTGTAAAAGAACAGGAGACACACTATAGTGTAGTAGGTACTTATACTTGGTGAAGAAAATATAGAAATGCACTTACAGTTTTTTGGAGCTTATGATCAGCTCCAAATAGTAGCGCTTGGGCGGTTTGATCCCCGCCTGTGAATATACTGGTGCAGCAACAGTTTTCCAGGACTTATACTTTTTTGGACTTTTACTTTTTCTTTGAAGTTCTGCAGCTTCATGTTTGCCTTTTGTGTGTTATTTAACCCGTGCCTCTGTACATCAAATTTCACCTATATTGTGTGTCCTACAGCTATTGTTTTTGTTGAGTTTTGCAGGCAACTTTATAGCCATGATTATATATTATGTTTAGTTTGGGGTAATCTCTTTCCCCACTGATGGGTGTGTTTGAGTTTGGATTTTGCAGTTTCCCAATTCCCAGAGCTACTTGCTGGGACTAGGTACCAAACCCACTTGTTTCGTCTCTTGTATGTTTTTGCCATCTATCCATGTTTCTTTTCCCTTTGCTTTCCTTTCTCTTTCTGCTTTGTGTCTTATTTTTCTTTCAGCTGTACTTTCTTCTCTGTTTCTTTTGTTTTACACTTTTGGGAGCGCTATCTGACCAGAAGACGTTGTGTCAACGCAATATATATTGTTTGTCATATTGCTTTTATGGGATGGTGATAAGATGATACTGTGACATATTTCTAAATTTTCTCGATGTTTCATTCTGCGTTCTCCTCTTTTTTTTAAAAAACTTTCTTTTCTCCTCCCATATTACATGAGAGTAGATGATATTTGTCTATATGGCCGGTTCAGACATTCTGTTTGTCTCACAGTTTTTTGCTCTTACCAGACCTGGCGTATCTGTGTTACCTTCTTTTCTAATGTATTTTTTAATTTATTGGAGCTAAAACAGTGTCATACTTTGATTTACACGCAAGCACGTGTTGCTCTTATGGCTGCTTGACAGCCTAGTAATGTAGAGTTATTTCATTTTCAAGATGTGTATCTGCTGTATACATTACTTATTGTATTGCCTTACTATTGTTTTGACAATCCACTTTTGCATTAT